ATGTTCGCATGCTGAAATCGAACAAGGTGTATTCGGCAAAAACGAACGACAAAGGAGAGGCAATTTTCATGCTTCCAATTCGGCAGAAGTATTTCATTGATTTCAACTACCAACGTGACGCAAAAGAAATAGATCTTTCCAAAGTCAAAGGAATCGCCGAACAATCCATGCACGTTCACTATACTCCCGATCCACGCATGGAAAACATTGAGGATTTCATCCCATCGGTAGAAGAACTGATTGAATATGATGTCCAGAACTTCATCGACAAACAATATCCAGAACCTGAAATGGGAGACATCGATTTTCAATTGAGCTGGGGAAACAAGTTCAATAAAAAATCAAAAGAGGCACTACTCGAAGTCGGTATGAAAGTCAAATCCAAGATGGAACGCAAAGCCGCCCCTCTGAATTTATGCTTCGTGATTGATAAAAGTGGATCGATGATGGGCGACGACCGCATCGAACAATTAAAAAAATCCCTCATTGATTTTATCAGTCGCCTCGACTCTACCGACATTATTTCGGTCGTTGTTTTCGACGACCAACCGCGTGTTGCTGTTCCAGCTGAACAACTGGGAGACAAACAAAAAGCCATCGATATCATTCATGCCATTCGAGCTGGAGGTGGAACAGTAATCTATTCGGGACTTGAAAAAGGCTTCGACGAAGTCAGAAAACACCACTCTACCGGTTTTGTCAATCGGGTAATGCTACTTAGTGATGGATATGGATCGCGGCCACCAAAAGAAATCGTAGCCATGGCGAAGCGAAACATCAAACTGGGCATTGAACTTTCAGCTGTTGGTGTTGGAACAAATTACAATCAAGCCTTGCTTTCGCAACTTGCATCTGCTGGTGGCGGATTGATGCATTTAGCCGGAAACGCAAAAAACATTCAGGATGCCTTCCGACATGAATTGGAAAGTGTACTGTACGCAGTAGCCAGTAAAGCGAAACTGGAAGTACTTTACAACAACGAAATCGTTTATCGACAGTTGTTCGGATATGTGAATGAGAAGGTGACTTCTGGAAGAATGAGTGTTGACATCCCTCACCTATTCCCTGGATTGAATCAAATGGCACTCATAAAGTTCGACCTGATTAATCCTACGCGAAAGATTGAACGTGAAAAAGTGGTTGTTCGCCTGTCTTATGTTGATCCTGAAT